AAAGTTTCCTCCTCTCTCACATTGTACCATGGTGTTGTGGGGCATGCATGTGTAAATGGCATCTGTCCTCAATGTCATTGTCCACATTGTCATCCCTTGCTCCATTTGATCCAGTGGTCCGTCCTCCCTGTCCACCTGCACCTTTGGATTTGAAGCTTTCTTTCAAGACACTCATGTGAATACCTTTGAGTCTGTCTATGATGCCCTGGCTACCTGCACTTACTATCAGACTCTGCAACGGGGATCCACAACCTGGGGATACAGAGGTTCTCTTTGCAATTGCACAAATCTTTCTTTGTTTTGCCGCATCCCTGGGGCTTTGCCTGGGAGGCAGCATTAGGGCCTCGTTATCCAAAAGGTACAGATGTCTACACTCTTATCACTTACCCCTGGATTCTCTTCTCTCAACTATCCTCAACTCCAGCGAAGCTTTTTCTACTGAGGAGAGATGGTCCCACCCTGCCTCAAACCACCTCAAACCTTTGGCTAACCCAAGGTTTCTCAACCTTGGCTCTATTGATATTTTGGACCAGATAAGTCTTTGTTGTGGGGGGCTGTCCTGTGCCTTGTAGGGTGGTTAGCTGCATCCCTGGCCTCTACCCACTAGATGCCAGTAGCATCCCCAAATTCCTGACCATCATTACCATATATCCACCGGGCTAGCCCCAAGAACCCCCTTCTGTTCTCCTAAAAGCCAGGCTTTGAAACCCCAAAACTGGAAAGAGACTCACAGGCTGCTCTCCTTTGAGGCAATGAATGCCTTCCCCCCTTTCCTGACAAAGTATGTGAAAGGGAAGAGCAAGGCAAAGAAGGGAAGAGAAATTAGACACATCAGGGAATATGGTTAACATTTCAAAAGCGTTATCCCATCTGTGTTGTATTTTCTCACCCATTGCCTTAAAAGTACACCACGTCATTCTAGTACTTCCTTTGTGTGTATATTACATTTTGTATATAGACTGCAATGAATAAGCATAAAGAAAGAAATTTAAGAGGGGACAGAAGACATTTAATCACTAAATTCTGATCAATACAGCTAAAATAGGATTATTCTTCACACCCAGCACACGTCTGGAACTGTGTTTCTCAGTATTGAACTTCCCTTCCCGGTTTAGAACTTACATGCCCTCTAGTGAATTACAGCGAAGCTTAGGTGTCTGAAGAGAGAGGTAGATCAAAGACCTTGCATTTGACACCTTTAACCCTTGTATGAGTCATTCCAAAGAAATCACTAAGAACCAGCAATAACTCCACTGAGAGCAAATCTTTCATTAGCTCACACGCAATAGAAATTTAGCCACTACTCCGGGTGCTCCATCTCTTATTGCTTGATTCATTTATCATTCACTCATTTAAGTCTGAAAATAAGTGGCTGTTAAGTCCCCAGAATATAAACAGCCATAGACGTTCATGTAAAACAATGCTGGAGATTATAGTTTCAGTTCTATGAAGGTTTCCAGGCCTTTATTCTGCCTATTAACTAACTTATTTCTTTGGCACAAATAGGGAAAAATACTAGTTGAACCTGCGGCTATGAGAAAGGGTGATATTTCAGCTTCTGAAACCTCATTTCGATTTATTTTAAAAGCCTCACACCCGCACAAAAAGGCTTTTAATGCTACCCTGGGCATTAGTACTGATTTCAATTCCTGTTTTAGTCACATATTCTCAGGTCATTAACTGTGATTCATTTTTCTTTTGGCTACAGAACTCTAATACAGCACAATTGGTTGTGATATAAACCTGCTGAATGTTTACAACTATTTGGGGAAAGTCAATCACTTTGCTATAATGTTATTTACCTTGTATGTTGCTACATTGGTAGACTACAATACGAAAGCATGAACCCTTCCCCTCCACCAAAATTCAGCCTAAAATAAGCATTTTTCCCTGAGCATGTCAGCTCTGGCGTGCGCCGCAGCCGTGCATACACCGAGCCACCCCACCAGGGGCAGGGCTGCCGGGAGCTCAGCAACGCCCAGAGCTGAGATGGAGCCGTGGCTTTAACCTCCAGCAGCATCAGACTCGCGCTGGAGCTCTGGACATTAACTCAGCACACCAAGTGCTTAACTTTCAGCTCCTTTTCTATGGATGGGGCCACTTCAGATTTGTAGACAGCCCTTAGTTACTCTATAGAATCCGCTTTACCCTTACTTCATCAATGTAGTCAATTATGTTCATTCATATTCAGAAGCTGGCTCATAGGTTTATAGCAAAGTTGAATATTCTGGCTCACACAGTTATTTTTTCTTCAGGGATTCAAATAGTCCTTTGGGATTGTGTACTGCCTCAAAGTATCATCATTATGAATATGAATTATTATTGGGGTAACTGGTGAAAACATCAGTTTAATATAGTTTTCCAGAAAACATTCCAATAAGCGCCCCCAACCACTTTTTTTTAACGTAGCATGTAATAAGCACCTCACTGATATGGCTTTACTCTGTGCCAGGCATCATGTTAAACAGATCATCCCATTTAAACCTCACAAGTGCCCCAAGAGGTATACCACTGTCTCACTTGGATTCCCCTGAAAACAAAGCTTGAGACACAGACTTTGTGTGGTAGTGTTTTGCGGAGGTGATCCTTGAGGGCATGAATGACCAGACAGGGAAGGAGGGGGAAGAGTCAACGAAAGAATGCATTATTTAGACATCATGGTGGGCAACAGGGACTTAATCTTGCCTGACCTCCTGAGATGTGGAAAGATGCCTCCCACAATTATCCAGCAGAAGGCTGGTGCATTTATCTATTGGTTCCCGTGCCCCACTGCTCAGGGTGACCCTGGAGCTAGAGAGCTCTCACAGGGCAGAAAGCAGAGAAGGCAGGCCTTGACTGCTCTCAAGGAAGTGAGTGGATGCAGCGAGCAATGGCCCACTGCAGACATGGCTAAAATTAGACATGAAGTATGTGAGGCGGGGCAACAGAAGCTTCTGACACAGTTATTTTCTCCCCACTTGACTGAGAGGAAACCAAGGTACATGGAGGTTACCTCACCTGCTCAAGGTCACAAGGCTGGTCAGTGGTAGAGCCAGGACTCCAACATGGGCCACCTGACCTCAAAGCCCATGGCCCTAACCACGTGTTATCCACCGTCTCACGTGAGGGGTGATGATGGCTGCACTCCACTCTTCCCTGGGTAGCTCCACCTAGAGGCTTGAGCAGTCCATCTACCAACTCACCCTGGAACCCACGTTTGTGGCATACATTCAAACGTTGCATTTTCTCCTTCGGGAATCCATTTTTTAAATTGCAACAACACAAGAAAATGGTACTTGCAATGCTGCATCTGCATTTATGGGGAAAAAATGAATACCTTTCATTTGAGATCATGCAGGAAGAGAGAGGTTCAGATAGTATACTACTTGAAAGGGAAAAGAAGAAACAAAAAAACATAGCTCATACCACGTTTTTTGAGTTCAGAAACTGCTTTTCAATTTTTTATTAAAATGTAATTCTTCAAAGAGTATAGAAATACACCTGGCAATGACCTGTTAGAAGGCAACCATCTGCTTCAAACATACAGAAGAAATACCTACCAAATTCTGCCCAGAATTTAAGTTGTACATATATATTATCAGAAAGACACCAAAGTGGCTACATTTGACAGATTCTTCTAAAGTGGACACAATTTTCTGACAGCTTATGTTTCCTCTTGATGAAAGCTGTAACAATTGTAAAGCTTTTGAAAGATAAGAGTGAAGGGCCACACGTTAACTCTCAGGGCAAGGAGCTACAGATTGCATGCACAAAGGGCCTGGAGGCAGGGCACCGGGAGAAGGGGGAAGTCCCAGTTTCTGCTGTGAGCACACACCCCTTCAAGGAGACAAAACACAAAGAGGAAGGCGCTCCCTCTGCAGGGGAAGGGTCTTTGGATTCATATTCTGGAATCACAAGACACCATACCCAGCAGAGGAAAGGAAAAGGAGACTCCCTACACATAGTCCGAGCTTCCTCCGAGGGACAAGGGCCAGTGTGTAACAGAAGATACGTGAGGACCACTGCCGTCAGGATGTGGGCATGTGCCGATGAGAAGGCCCCGTTCCCTTCAAGCTTGCTCAAGGCACTGGACTGGCTCCCCTATGTGTATTGCACTGGACTGGTTCCCCTATGTGTATTAACAAGAACAAACGCCCCAGAGAGAAGAGCAGAGCTGGCACTGATTTGCCCTCAGTAAGAGTGAAGTGTCATCTGGAGTTTGAATTCAGCCTGGTGAAATCCACCTAAAGTGGACTCAAATTGCTCGTGAGGGTCCCCAGGGACCAATCAGTTGAGGACACGGTCCTCCCTCTTCTGGCTCCTGCTGCAACTTCACTGGGAAGGAGGAATGGAGAGCTCACCTGGGCTAGGGGTTCCTTGGTATTTTACATTAATTGTTTTTCCCTGCTCTGTTCCTCCTTTATGTCCAAAATGAAGGGAGAACCAAAGTTGTACAAACAGACTGAAAACAAGACTGGCCACACCTGGGTTCTGGAGTCCCCAAAAGGGAGCCATCTTTGTCAGACTTGTCCCACTCTTTTGGGCAGAATCACCTTTCCTAATCAAGTATTTTTAGCTGGATGTTTCCAGAGGACTCCGTGTATGCTAACTTTGCATTTTTTAATTACCTTTTAATTCCAAAAGTTTGCACAAGATAATTTTTTTCAACTTACTCCTACAGATTGCTACGTAGCACCTTTCATGTTAGATCATGTGGGAAGAGAAAAGACTACAGCGTGTGGGCATTTCTCAGCCTTTTCCACCTCTAAGCTTCTCTCTCATTTGCTTGAAAAACACAACTTAAGGGGGAAAGATATAGTAAAGATTCCACAGTGTTTTCCAACCAACACTGCAGACGTATCTTTCTGAGGCCTTGGTGGTGTCTGGAGAATGTCAGATAATCAAGGACAGACTATGTCCCTTACCCCCGGGCACATCCACTGCCATTTCTGTCAAATAGGGGTGGAAAAGGCATTCATCCCTCACCTGTATCCTAGCGAAAGCAAACGAAGAAGGGCATCGGGAGAAACTGTAAGTCATATGATTGGGCCTTCCCGAGAAAAGACGTCAATGCCAAGTCCCTATCTTCCCTGAAGGGACAGGTCAATATTAAAAATTTTTAGCATTTATCATATTTAAGTCAATCACATAGGCATTTTCTTTGTGGCCAAGCTGCTCCATAATTATCCTGGGCTCCCTTTAGAGTGGTACTGCTCCCTTTGAGCTCATGGATGTTCTTCTCTCCCTGTATTCTCTGCTGGGCCCAGAGGACTGAGGAGTCCTCAGAAAATGCACATGGAGGACCCACCCCAAGACTCATTCCACACTGCCCAGCTTTTGTCTCCACAGAGAGGAATGTAGACTTTACTAAGGACATGGAGCACTGAGATAAATATAGATACTCCCTCAATAAAGAGGACATTTGATTTTACATAGATTTCCCCCTTATTCAAAAGCATTTGGCCCATACAGGAGGAGTCAATCCAGACTGGGTTGCAATGAGATCACACAAATCGTAGGGCCAGAGAGAAGGGAGGGCAAGAAGGTGGAAGCTCTCTGTTGCTTCCAGGGATTTATAATCCTTGCTAGGAATCCACCTTTGGAAAAATGCTCACTTTATTGTTTCTGCTCATCTTTCGCTCCACCCTGCCTACCTTGGGCATCTTCGTCTGAATCAGCTCCTCTGGGGTGTTACCCAAGGGGGGAAGCAGCCGCTTCTTACTGTTTCGGGTCTCTGAGAGCCACTGAGGAGGCAACTCAAAAGGCCCAAAGCCAAATTGCAGGGAATACTTGCCAGGGAATGTCTCAGGTTCCATAGGGGCTGCTGATGCCACCTGGGATGTAGCGTCCACTGTGCCCGGGGGTGGGGCAGGGGGTGCAAACTGTGGCCCCTGCTCCCCCTCCAGGCAGGTAGTAAGTATCTCCTTGGCCTGGAGGTCAGCTGAGCCAATGTACTTGGCTTCACTCTCTTCCTCATCCTCTGTGGGCTTAAAGATCTGCTGCTGCCCAATGTGGAACATCTCCAGGAGCTGGCTGCCTGAGCGCATGCTGGGCTCCAGGCTGGAGTCAGCCATGCCACTCCGTGTACTCACCACATTTCGGCGACTGTACCGGTGGTGCAGTTGTACCAAGGTCCCTACCAAGCACTTGCGGACAGATTTGTTCACAGTAAGAAAGAGAACAGGGTTTGCCAGCAGAGAGACTTTGGGCAGCCAAATGGCAGTGAGCAGCAAGAAGATGGAAGTGTCGGGGACATTGAGCACAGTCTGGTAGACGACCAGGGTGGCGTAGGGCACGCTACATAAGATGAAGACCGTCACCATGGAGAGCAGGGTGGCGTGCAGCTCGGCCTCCCGCTGGGAGGCATAGGGGATAGAGATGGTGTTCTGTGGGGTCCGGAGCGCTGCTATGATGACCTTCTTCTTCTGGCTGGCACTCAGGGCCCGTCGGATCAGTATCAAGAAGAGGAACACCACAGCCACAGGCACAATGACCGTGGTGATGTTATAGATCAGAACATACACCAGGTGGCCCAAGGAGTTGCTCCAGACTTCAGTGCAGGTGGACATGGCATAGATGTCAGCCACATTGGTCACTGCAAACACAGGGACGCTGGCCACCACTGCATGGGCCCAGATGTACATCACCAGTTCACGGGACTTGGCATCAGATATTTTTCTCTCCAGTGGATAGAGGACTGAGTAGTACCTGCAAAATGCACAGGCAAAATTCATTTCACAGGAGAAGATACTCTTTAAATTAGGGGAATCTACATTACCACAAGTGGGAGAAAAGAAAAAGAGGGTCAAGTTTTTTTGTTCTTCCTAAGACAGAGGGAACCACTGGGGGGCTTAGGAAGCCAGACCTTAAAGTTTTGAGGACTTTGCTGTACAATGAGAGGTGTCACTAGGCCAAAAATGTACCTTTCTAAACGAGCAGAGCAAAGCCTTGCCTTCATGGGACTCTCAAGACTGTCTACTGGGAAAACAAGTAAATAGTTTCATTTCATAGCTACCTTTATAATCATTGCCATTAGGATTAAATCCCAAAGAGTGCCCTCAATACAAAGGATGTCTCCATCTGCTATCAAGACATCTATTTTTCAATTTAAGGGTAAACGGTAATTTGTAAAAAATTTACATTGGCTGAGAAGCTTTAGGGCAATTTTCAAAGCCACTAACAGAAAGAAATTTGTCTGCACACATCTACAATGCAGATTTATGGCACAGTGTATGCACTGGGTATCATTAGCATTTACAGCTGCTCAGGGCAGAAGAATCCAGTATGAAAGATGGACTCTGACAAGGTCCTTCCAGAAAATTAGTCCAACGGACAAAAATTATGCCTGCTCAAAAGCCATTGTTCCTATGATAATCACTCAGTAACCCTAAGAGCAATTAATAGGTCTAAAACGCCTGCACAATTAGATTTTTGCTAAAATCAGATGAGACTTCCTTTCCTTTGTTTATTCTGTAACCACCTATTCAGATTTCCAAAAGCACTCTGTTTCAATATCATCAATAATTTGGGAGAAATGAGTAATTCTTCAGACCCTAGAACCACATCTATCATGAAAGGCCTGCCAGTAGCCATCAGAAAGATGGTGAGTTTCTTCACATTAGCTCTGCCCATGTCTCTGCAGTCAACCAATGCTGCAGTCAACCTTACAACTCTATCAAAATTCATGCACTCATGCGGCCAGGTGAGCATGCACACCTTCCTGTCACGGGAACTTCTGAGCACCGCCTATGTGCCAGCTACTGTGCCAGGCACTGGGCTACAAAGATGAAAAGACACATAGAAATGTTTCTAAACTCAGTGGGGAAAAAGGCATACATGCAAACATTATAAATGGGGAGATGATGGCTCCACTGGAGGTATGCACAAAGGAGGTACGGGAAAGGGAGCACCTGGGAAAATGTCAAGAGAAGGTGGCACTGTGGTGGAGTCTGGCAGGGGACAAGCTGAGGGAGAATGTTCCCGGCTGAGGAAGATATGATGCAAACACAACATGACCATGGATGATCAGAGATGGATGGAGCACGATGAAATGTGTTCTAGATCTCTTTCTGGCAGGGGAAAACAAGAGAAAGAAATGCATAAGTTATGCATGCTCTCAATTTTTTTTCTCTGAATATAGACACATTTTCTAATTACAACTCTGTAAATTCAGTGTGATGGCCCTATACCTGCACATGAATACACAGGAATCCACTGTCTCCAATTCCTATTTATTAACTGACAGGTAACAAAGCCAGTCATTTCTGCTTCCATTATATGTTGGGAAATAGACGACAATACAAGCACACAGACTCATTATAATAATTTTGTTAGTGTGTACATCTCTAGAAGATGATGTAGGAAGTGTAGGTGGCCTCCCAATTAACTGCTGACTTGGTGCCATAAAATACATATTTGAGAAAGAAGTGAGAGAAATGACTGTCTTCCCTTTGTCTTCATGCACACCCTGCTTATGCCTGCAAGTAATCTGTTTTGCTGAATAATAAAATAGGAATTTATCAGCCTTGTTTTTCTACTAAAAGGACTTGTTTACCTTTTTTTTTAAATGACAGCAAAAAAATCCAGCTTTTCTGCTGGAAAGAAAATAAGAATTTCTTATTGTTTGCATATTTTCTTGTCTAAGACCAAAGGCCCAGAAATAACCCACAGGGATTATTGCATGGCTTCCAGGTATAACAGCAAACTGTTCAGAATAATGTGTTCCCACTCCTGCTGAATCTTATTCCTCAAAAACTTTCAGGATTCATAGCAGCATTATTCACAATAGCCAAAAAGTGGAAGCAATCTAAATGTCTAGCAATTAGTAAATGAATAAATAAAATGTGGTATATCCATACAATAGAATAGTTTCAGCAATAAAAAGGAATGAAGTACTGATACATGCTACAACATGGATGAACCTTGAAAACCCATGCTGAGTGAAAGAAGCCAGATACAAAAGAACACATGTTGTACGCTTTCACTTATACGAAATGTCCAAAAGAAAGCAAACACGTAGAGACAGAAAGTAGATTAGTGGTTGCCTGGGTCTGGGAGTAGGAATGGGGAGTGACTGTAAATGAGCACGAGGTTTCTTTTAAGGGCAACAGAAATATTCTAAAGTTTGATTGTAGTGATGGCTGCACAACTGTATAAATACACTAAAATTCATTGTCTTGTGCACTTAAAATGGGTATATTTTATGATATGTAAATTATAGCTCAATAAAACTGTTTTTAAAAAACTTTCAGGAAAGAAAAGTCCACAATGTGGATTGAAAACTTAAGACCTCACCGAGCAGATGGTACCAAGGGCAGCTGGAAGTACACCTGCCATGAACACAGAACGGTTCAACACAAAATGCATTAGGGCGCCTGCTGGGATGTAAACTGACTTTTCACCGTTATATTCCAGTGCTGTGCAATGGCACTTTCCAGATATTCAAAGACCTCTTGTTGAACATGAAGAGACACGCAAAGTCACTGTAAAGCAGGCACGGCAAACTGGCCTTACATGGGGCACATTCAGCTTGCTGAAGGGATTTGAGTGGCCCACATATTTTTTGAATGAAAATTAATTGCCAACATTTTTAAAAGACAGAATTCTAGATTTCTGATTTCTCTTCTAAGACAATATAAAGTCCTGCCCACTGAGTCTAGATACCCACAAAGCAACTATTAGCTGCACCTGCTGAGTGACTGACCCCTATGAACAGGAATGCAGACATACAACCTCAACTTGATCCATGTCACCTGCCTCATATGCCCCTGTGTAGGGTGAGTTTCTAGCGAGAAACTTCCAAAGAGCTGGAGTGTCTCCCAGCAAGATCTGATGGTAAAATGATCGCAGACAATATATCTAGAAGAATGTGACAATCAGAAGGAAAGCCTAGAGAAAGACAGACACACATTGGTCCAGCCTATCCAAGTGCAGGCCATAAATAATTCATTTAATCCTTCGTAATTACCACTGAGGAACCTTAGGCTCAGACAGGTTAAGCCACTTTGCCCAAAGCCACCCAGCAAGAAAGCAGTGTAGGTAGGGCTTAAAGTCAGACTTCTGGCTCTAGAGCCCCCTCTTAAGCAGAGCCAGTGACTTCTCCTAGTACGCTGGGGGCTTTGTGTGACTGTGTTCCTGCCTGCAGACAACACTGGGCAGCTAAGGAAATCAGGGTTCCAGGCCTGAGAGGCTAAGAGACTCCACAGATCAGTTCTGCAATCCATACCCTCACAGGTCATTAAGGTATTAAGTATGTTCTGAATGGATAAAGAGTTTAAAAATTCCAAATTCATATAAAATGTAGTTAAATTTATCATGGGGTATGAAGTCAGAGGAGCCAGCATTTTCCCTTCAGCAACTGTTCCTCTCTGTCAATCCTGAAATCAAAAGTACTCACGGACACAAAATACTTTTCAATTCTTGTTTGCTTATTTAATTCTATTCTCTAAAATGTATTATTATCTCAAACTGTATTCAGGAAGTGCTAACAAAAAGGGAAAAAGCAGGAAGCTGTTGGTTACTGAGATCTTTACACTTCACTTTGATAAATTTGATCAAATTATGTATGATGGCAGCAGCAACAATATGAGACTTATTTCCAAATGGGCATCCTTTTAAAGAGGATTCGAAGAAAAAACAACAACCATCACAATATAAAGCCTTGGAAATAAATCCTCCAAAGGAATTGTGGTGTTATCTGGCCAAGTCCAACTGGACTGTCTAATCACTTGTTAAATTACCACTGAATCACTCCCTTGTTCTTCCAAAAATGTTTTCATCCTACATAAAAAGCCCTAATTGTAGATTATCACTCAGATGAGCAATCTACTGCAAACTGCAATGCAGATACCACCAATTCCAACCAAGTTGAAACCCCAGCATCCTCATGATGGAACTCCCCACTGCCACATCTTTTCTCAATGTTCCTATTTTCTGTACCTGCTGTTAAATCAACCTTTTATGAGGCATCTGTTTCAGATATTCATTCTCTATTGACCACACGCAGACTAAAACACGTGTTGAACGTTAACTATTCACCATTTGCTACATGATGCTAATTTTTCACTACACTTAAAAAAAAAGTTGCTCCCCTGGCTACCTGATCTTACCTGTCCAAGGCAATGGCAGGGAAACTGAGGATAGTCACAGAGCAGAAGACTTTGTGCAAAAACTTGACGACCTTGCAGAAGAGCATGGTGTAGATCCACCAGCAACAGTGAGGACTGGTGCTGAGGATGATGTCGAAGGGCACGCAGACCAGGCTGGCACAAATCCCCGAGCAGGCCAGGTTTTTAATGAACCTGTTGGTGACAGATTTGAACACGGTTGTGCGGCAAGTTGACCATAACACCATGAAGTTTCCTGGCCAGATATGCAAAAAGAAAATAAAAATAAATTTTTAAATAAAAAGAAAAAAGACAAAAAAAGGAAAGAAAGAAAACATAGGTTAGAAAAAGACTGAAAACCCTATTTGAGAGATGATTTCAAAGGATTTAATTTAAATACTTCACATATTATATTGTGAATTTATGTGAAATTATTAATCACTTATATACATATCAAAAGTGTAGAAGAATTTTTAGTGGTGAGTTTTGTTATTTAATTTTAGGCATAATAGTATTATGATAAGGATTCAGTCTCATCTGAGTATAAACAATTTGCTAGGTATTCCTTAATCTCAGGCAGTCTACTCTTACCAAGTTTGCAAATGATCTCCATGTTGCCAAACTCTGTAATACAAAAATGACGCAAACCACATGTGCAATTTAAAATTTTCTAGTAGCCATATTTTTAAAAAGTAAAAAGCAGGTGAAATTTTAATAGTGAATTTTATTTAACCCAATATATCCCAAATATTATCATTTCAACATGCGATCCTTACTTCAAAAAGTATTAATGAAATATTTTCATTCTTGTTTTTGTACTAAAAAGTCTTTGAAATCTGGTGTGCATTTTTTTATTGAGCTATAATTGACATATAACATTGTATTAGTTTCAGGTGTGCATGGTAAGCATTTTATTTTACACTTACAGCACATTTCAGTTTGCACTAGTCACATTTCAAGTGCTCAACAGCCACAGGCAGCTAGTGGCTACTGTACAGGACTGCACTGTTCTAGACCTTTAGCAGCAATAACACATTCGATTGTTTCTCTTTAAGCTTTCTCCTCTTGTGGCTTCCACAGGCCTACAGTCTGCTGGTTTTCCTCCCACCTTCCCACCTCTCTGGTCCTGGCTGCTCCTAGTTTTTTTCCCTATCCTCTCTCTACAGCCTCTCCCTAGGTTAATTACCCATTCTGGTGGGTCTCTATGGAAATATTGATGACTCCCACATCCTTTTCCCAAACTAGGCCTCTCCTCTCAACTCCAGATTCCTACATCCAACTACATGTCTGACTCCTCACTCCATCTCATCTGCCTCCCCATGGTCCTCAAGAGCCTACATAATCTGGTGCCCACCTGCCTAATCTCACTCCTTTTTTCCCCTGGCTTGCTGGGTACCAGCCACTCTGCCCTTTTTTTCTCTTCTTGAAACACGTCAAGGTTGATCCTGTCTCAGTGCCTTTGTTCAAGTTTTTTATTACTGCCTAGCGTGCTCCTCCTATGTCTGGTTCCTTGTAATCCAGGGCATAGTACAATTGCTACCTCCTCAAAGGGTCCTCCTCTAACTATCTTTTTATTGTAAATACTCACTGCTCCTCCCTCCATTATACTCTAATATCTTGTTGTGGCCTTCATAGTTCTCGTTATAATTATTATTTTGTTTACTTGTTTTCCTTCCATTTCATGAAGATAAAAACCATGTCAATCTTGTTCACTGTTATAACTCTACTGCCTATCTCAGTATCTGGTACAGACTAGGTATTTGATAAATATTTAGATAAATGAATTTGTAAAGTAACAGGACAACTAGTAATCAAAAGTGTCTACAGTTAAGATAACCCCTCTTGTGGTATGTCCGTCATGGGAGGATATTCTAAGTCCGTAGTTCCCAAACCTCATTATGCCTCAGAATTACTATACCAGACATCCTGAATCACAGTTAATAGGTATGGAACCAGGACCCTGCAGTTGTAACAAGCGCCCCAGATACAGGTGGCCCCCAGACTAAAGTTTTAGAAATACCACCTCTAGACAGAGTCTACAGCCCCAGCCCCTGAGTCTCACAGGGCCCATGTCTTCAGGGATGCAGGGCAGCCTACTCTACTGGTGCAGCTTTTACCTGGTGAGAGAGCCAGGTCCCTACGGCCCATCAGTCATGACCCAAGGACACTGCTACCTCCTGGGCACATGCTCAGAGAAGGCCCTCCAACGAACTGAGCCGACAGCTCAGCCTCACTCGGAAGGAGAGCAAAGGTGCCAGGGGAGGGGAGAGCAGGGTTCCGGGCTGTAGCCAAAGTCACCTCAAGGAGCTGTCTTGACGCCTCAAATGTTAACATAATTTACTGTCAAGAGTCTCTCTTCAAACTCAGTATTCTCTTATTTGCCAGATAAAGTAGAAAAAATAGCCACTGTGGTTGGGTAAGTAGGCCAGCCGCTTCCAGGAAATTCTCTACCAAACTTTCCTTACGTTAGTATGCTGACTCAATGAGATGAACCCAGCAGTGTGAATATATACACACACGCACACACACATTTATTCAGTGTAAGAGCTGTTTCTACTAATACCACCACCTCAGGCCCTCTCAAGCTTTCCCATCACCAAGGTGACAGACTGAGCAACAATGATGTACTTGAAGCTCCATTGATTTGGGGAATTTTTTTTTCTGGTCTTTTCCCACTGAAGCACGGATTAGAATCTGGCTGAAGCATCTTTCCGCACTTAAGTTTTACATACAGGACTTAAAATCTGGTAACCATCTAACAATGAAATAGCCCACTTAAAATATCTGCCATGAAGAGAGTGTACAGGTCACAGTATCTTCAGTTGTCAAAATCAGGGGTGTCTCCAGTCCACTGAGGGATTCCCATAAAGAAAATCCCTCTTTGTTATAAATCAAGACCCTTACGATTTTCTTTTTCTCTCATCACTGTTAATCTTCGCAGTTTGGCAGGTTATACTGAATAAAACATTTTGAGTAACAAAACAAACAGGAAAATTCATTGCAAGGGAGAGGGCAGGATGTGGGCCAGGGTCTCTCATGCACACAGCAGATTCTTTTGAAACTTAACTGAAACTAATTTCCACCATTACCCTTGTACTACACTCTCCTATCTTTCCCTCTCTCTCCCTATTATGTCAAGCATACTTTTTGTTGTTTTTTTAAAAATCATACTTTAGCAGTATATATATTATGATAATAATTTGAGGTGAAAGTATTCTGGCTGCAGAAGAGAGTACCAGATATGCCATCTTAGGAACTATATATATATATATATATATATTGGCAATATAATGAACATTTCTATTAGTATGTCCACACTTGTGAATGAGGAAACTCTTTTTCAATAAGTTATCATTGAAAAAACTGAGACTACTACAATCACATTTTATCTCCACTTATTTATAAGACTCTAAGTGGTATCCAGAGCCTACTCCCTTTTGCTCTTAAGAACCTGAAGCTAAAGAAGCCTATGTCTTTTCCATTCTCTAAACCACCTCTCTCTCTCCTCACTTAAAACTGAGTCATTTGGCTCTAAGAACCTGAATTAGACCAAAATATCAGGAGAGGGGTACCCACACCCAACATCGGATTGGCCACACATTAAAAAAATGTGTGTGTGTGTCTGTGTGTGCACATGAGTATGCATACACATGCATACACCAAATATACATATGACAACAAAGCAAGATAATTATATATTTGATCATTTAATCTCACAAGCACTTTAGATTCTTCTTGGCTTTACAAGGCATACCAAGGATAACTCAGTATATATTTTATATACAGTATTCAGTATTCAACTTCTAGATACCTTTTATTCTAGAGATCACATTCTAAATCACCTAATCCCCTTTATGAGGATCCAAGCTCTGAACCCATTCTTCCTCCCTACATATTCCCATTATACCTCCTAATGCTGGATTCCATGACAACATTCACTGCCACAGCTGTGAACATAGCAACTCAGTACACACTCACAGCACACACAACCAATAGAGGAATAGGAGGTAAAGAGTGATGACATTGGTACAAATCTACTCTCCCCAGGACTGCTGTTACCCTACCATTTCCTCCTAATCTAAAATACAAATAAAGATTTCTCTTTACACAGTATACTTGATAGTCAAAGATAACTGATGTTGAAGACAGAGATATGTGAACTAACTACAAGTCCCAGATAGTGCTTGACAGACCTTGAGGAACTAACCAGGCTACTTTTTCCCAACTAAATTTTGCCTTTGCAAAATTTTGACTATGGTTGTCTTTTTTAACTGGTTCATAGGATTTACATCTTTGAGAGCAACAATCCTGGTGTGTTAAAGAGACTAATAACCAAGATGAAAAAGATACTCCAAAAGAACTTTAGAAAATAGTGTGCCTTTAAGAGTCCCCCCAGGAAAACAGACACATTATCCTTTAAAAACTACCAGCTTGCCCAGAGACTTACAGCAGTAAAAAGATTCATGGCCATGCTTTTACAGAAAGACAACAGACCACCCAGAACATTTTAAGAACTGAAACTTGAAAAAACAAATGTAAACTGAAGGCAAGGAATTAAATTACAAGGAAAATCCTAAGAAGACAGACTGTGCCAATAGGGAGGCCAAATAATGGTTAGAAAGACCACAAAGGAACTTTTATATTCATCAAACACCATGTGAAGCAAGAGGAAAGTCTAAGCAAGTTAGGTAATACCAAGCCCATAATAGAAGAAACAAAGAATAGACAACTACTTTGTGTAGAATGGAATTTTAAATTTCTTCTTTGCTTCAGTTTGCAGCCAAAAAGGTAACTAAGAACAGGGTCTCTTTGCTTAAAAGAATTATGTAAAGTGAACTATAGGAAATACTTTTAATTAATCTGCCAGATAACAACAGGAATGACTTTTTATCTGTGTCTTTATAGTTAAAGTGGCTTTCTTATAGACAGCATATAGTTGGCTCTTGCTTTTTTAACTGATCTGACAATCTCTGTCTTTTAATTGGTATGTTTAGAGCATTTACAGTTAATGTGATTATTGATGTGACTGGATTAAAATCTACCATCTTACTAATTGTTTCCTATTTGTCACATCTGTCCTCTGTTTCTTTTTTCCTCTTTATATTCCTGATTTTGGATTATTTTTTTAGAAGCTCATTCTATCTCCACTATTGGCTTATTACTTACACTTCTTTTTAAAAATTTTTAGTGCTTTC